GAGAGAGAGAGAGAGAGAGAGAGAGAAGGAGGGAGATCTGTGGCCATAAAGTTTTACAGAAAAATTGGAACTAACAATTGAGTGAAGTATAGACCTCAGATGGGCTATGAGAAGAAGCTAATAATCAAGAAAGAACAGCCCTATAAACTAAACAATTTATACCTTCTACATTTACTTTCACTGCTCTCAGTTTTTTTGTTTCTGTCCTGTCTTACCTAACTGTTGTGGTTCACATGAAAATTAATGAAAGTAGATGTATGGCAAAGAAAATCAAAGGGGCCGAAAGTCTGTGTGGCTTGTGGACCTTCCTGTATTGCCTCCATATGGTGCTATATTTGTCAACAATTTAAATGTCATCATTCAACCCCAGATTAGTTATTCACAAAACATGCAGTCAGACAAATTTATTTTTAAGTTGTCATCAAGCTCTAAGAAGCATTTATTGACAATTATCATATAAATTTACATATTCAAGTTGAGGAAAAGAGAGTGACCAATCATCTTTGAAAATTGGCTAAGGAGCCTGTTGTCCTCGGATTTTGTCGGGGAGGTTGAATGGAGTACAATTTTGACATTTTGAATCAATTCTTTGCTAAAAGTTAAACAATAATGACTCTGAAGAAATGAAATATGCCTTTTGAGGTGCGTGTGGCATTCAAGAATTGGCACTTCTCGCTAGGTTGTTGCCAGCATATGCATGCACCCTGCAGCATGGTCATTCAATCTGTTGTCCCTTTCTCAATGTAAGAGTCTCTCACTGTTGTCTCTCTCTGTCTATTATATCTGTCTATCTCTATCTCTATCTCTCCTTAACGTGTATTTGTGTTTGTTTTCCTACAGGAATTTATAAAAACTCAAATTTCTTTCAAACCTAATAAATCGTTTTGGATGGGGCTCTCTCGCCATCAGACTAACGGACCATGGCTCTGGGAGGATGGCTCAATGTTCTCTTCTTACTTGTAAGTATCTAGAGAGAGAAAGGCTCACACCCTTTCTCAGAAAGGTGAGAGCATGTCAAGCAGTTAAGAATCTGATTTGTTGACCATATATAAGAAAGACAGAGAGAATGATGGATAGTGTTGGGGAGGAAGAAAAAGTGAGCCAGGAGAAAAAAAGGGGGGTGGAGGATTCCATAGTTACAAAGAACTGAGTGGCCATCTAGTGCCATCAACGCAAGTGTTCCTTCAGCTTTCTCACCAGGAGGGCATCTAGCACCTATTTGAAGTTGCCCAGTATGGAGCAGTCACAGTTGGTCAGCATAAAACTGTACTTAAGAGCACGGACTTTGGAGTCAGGTCTTGGCTTGAGTCCATGACTGGCCCACTCACGTGTGAAAATGGCTAAGTTGCTTAAACTATCTGAGTCTCCTTCCTCATCTAAAAATAAAACTAAAAATAGTATCTATCTCTCAGGATTTTGAGGTGCGGGAAATAAAAGTAAAACCACTTAGCATAGTGTCTTGCACATAGCAAATTTGTAATACAAGCTACTTTCAACATATTTCATGCTTCCATGATTACAAATTCTTCCTCATTGTGTATGTACTAGCCAAGCATCTCCAGAGAAGGAGATTTATATAGATCTCCTATTGGTTCTGTTTCTCTGATAGCTCTAACAAATACATACACAATGAGGAAGAATTTTTGAATGGATATTTATTATGAGGAATTGGCTCACAGGATTGTGGAGACTGAGAAATCCCACAATCTGCCCTCTGTAAACTGGAGACCCAAAAAGGCTGTTGTGTAATTCAGGCTAAGTATGAAGGAACGAGAACCAAGAGCAGATGGTGTAAAACCCAGTGACAAGGCAGGGAAAGATGACATGAGCTGTCTCAGCTCACAAAGTGAAGCAGGAAAAATGGAATGGATTCTTTCTTCCTCCACCTTTTTGTTCTATTTTGGTGCTCAGTGAATTAGATGATGCCCACCCACACTGGTGAGGGCAATACTCTACTGAGTTTACTGATTCAAATACTAATTTCATCCAGGAACACTCTCACAGATGCTCTCAGAAATAATGTTTAATGTGGGTGTGGCCAGTCAAGTTGACACATAAAATTAACCATCAAAAAGTGTTGAAATCTTTCTCACTGCAATTGTCATTCATTTCTCTTTTCATATCTGCAGAATATGAAATTATATTCCCCTTTTAAGTTTCTATTATTGCGGTGTGTGTGTGTGTGTGTGTGTGTGTGTGTGTGTGTGTGTGTGTGTCGCACCTTTCTTTTTTCATTTTCCTATCAATCTCAGTGGGTGTGTTTTCCAATTTAATTAATCTTTTCAAAGAAAGAAGTTTTGATTTTGTTAATTCTCTTTCCCTTTATCTGTGTTTTTAATTTTTTTCATTAATTTCAGTTCTCATGTTTATTATTTCTTTTCAACCAGTTTCTTTGTCTTGAATTTGCTATTCTTTCTCTAACATTTTTTATGCTTGACTCCTGTAATTCACTCTTTCTTTTTCTCAAATATGTACATTACAGGCTACAATTTTAACGTATTTTCAATGTCATTCAGTTCAAAATACTATCTACTTTGCATCATGAGTTGTGTTTTAACCTCTGAGTTACTTCAAAATGTATTTATTAATTTATAAATATCTGTATTTATACTTATCCTTTGGTTTTAAGTTTCAGCTTAATTTCATCGTGGTAGGAGAACATACTCAGTGTGATTGAATTTCTTATTTCTAGCTGCTTCTCCTTCCCATCCAGAGAGAATTATATGAAAATCTTCCACTGTGGCTCTACTTACAATTCTGCAAATATTTTAGTTGATGTGTTAAAGCCACATTATTAGACACATATAGACTATAGACTTAGAATTATTATATCTTACAGGTAATGGCCCACTCAGTGTACTTTTACTTCCTTCTTTTGAATTGATTTAATACTTTTTATTATTCTACCTTTTCTTACATTTAGATTTTACTGTTTTACTAATATTTTACTAGTTACTGTAGAGATTACAGCAAGTATTCTTCACTCATCCATGTCTAATGTTAATTGGCCTTTTTATGTTCTTCCTGGGCAATATAAAAATATTAGAATAGTCCTTTACTCTATGTACTCCCTCCTCAATTTACTTGCTATTATTTTTGCATACCTTATCGCTGACACATATTTTTCCACATTTACTATGTCTAAAATTGGCAATATGTCTTGACTAGGACAAATTGCTGTCCATTTATAATCACTGTAGGCCTGAACTGAAGCTGAGCTCTGTCAAGAAATATTAGCAATTTTTTCTGCCAAAGAGAAGTACCACAAACCTGAGGCTACTTAAATGAAACATTCCACTTAAATGTTGTTGTCTTTTCCCAATACACTGATATTATGGATTTGGATAGAACTGTATGAGTACCAGCTTGTGGTTAAACTCTCAAGGAGTATAATTTTTTCCTCCTATCTTCCGCTTGCTGGTAAGATTGAGACATGCACTTTTCATTGTTATTCTTTTCTATTCGGTAGTTTTAAGTTTTCATTTATTGCATCACCAAAATAGTCCTTTGTTTTCTAACTTCTGTCAGGTTTTCATTTAAATTTCTATCTTTGATAAATTTATTTCACTATATTAGATTGAATAACTGGTACATCAACAGTTGATGACATCTTGGATTCAATAAAAATATAACCTTAGAAAACTGTAGACGTGTAGATTTATGCAGTCAGTTCATCTAGATTCTCTCAAGTTTTTATGGTTTTCATTGTGTCTTATTCCTTCCTGCCTCCATTTTGAGTTACTTTCTTTAAGCTTGGCGAATACTCTTTAGTATTTCCTTTAGAGTTGAAATTTTAGAATTGAATTCTGTTTGTATAAAATGGTTTTATTCCTACTTTTGTAAAAAAAAATGTTTTTTGAGTATAAAATTAACATTTTTAATTTTTCCTCTCAGCCATTCAAAGATATTATTATAATGTGTTCTATTTTTTATTGTTGTTTTTGAAAAGTAAGCTCTTTGAAGATAATAAATGTTTTAAGTCTGATGTCTTTTTTCAGCTTTAGAAAATTCTCAGCCATTTTGCTAAATGCAGTTATATGCATTATAAACCCATTTACAGTATTTTATATGTCTTATTTGTTTTTCATATATACTTTTTATCCTTTTGTCTTTAATCTCTTTATTTACTTCTCATATATCTTTCAGCTCAGTATTTTTTCTCATCTGTTGCTATTCTGCTGTTAAAAGTATCCATTAAAGTTTTAAATGTTGTTCAGTTAATTTTTCAGTTCTTAATTTCAACTTTTTTCTAAATCTTCCCCGTCACTATTTATAATTCCTATCCTACTTCCAACGTTCTCAATATTGTCATTTAACTCCTACAATACACTGAGTATAGTTTTAACATTTGTCTTTGATAATTCCAATGTCTTATACTCATGTGTGTCTCTTTCTACTGCATTTTACTCCTATTTTTCATTCATCTTGATTTTTTATATGCCTGATTATTTTTGATGTGTGCTTAATGAATATATCTTAAATGTTTGTAGAATTAATTTGAAGTTTACAGAGTGGCTGTTCATTTGCTCTGGCAGGCACCATTTGGTATGACTAAGACATACTGCTGAGTATGATGACATTTTGATTTTTACACCACTTAATATTTACTGCCACTGGCACAAGCACAGTAAATTCATTAACAATCCTGACAAAATACATACTCTACTTTTCCATAGCACTTGTTTGTCTTGAGTTTCCTTTTGCTATTTTAAACATAAGATTAATGGGTTCTTTCTAAAGTCACAAGAGAGAGCTCAAATTAACATTTCGATATGTTACTATGCCTTGGTTTCTTGGGTGGCAGTAACTTAATCTAGCTCTGTCCATATACAACAAACTGTTGGAGGTGAAGGAAAATTTTTAGAGAACATTAGTCAGAATTCTCCCTGAGGACTGGATCAAAGTTGTTTCATGTCCTTAGTCTAGTTGTTTTTACAGAAGAATTCTTTCAATCCACCAAGCTCAGAGCCAAGAGATAGGTTCACAAGATAAAGAATATCAGACCTTAGCTTTCACACTGAGGCTTAGTGATGTTCTGTGAACTTGAGTAATTGACACTGCTCCAGCAGGAGGCTGAAGAGCAAGCAGAACAGAGCCATGCTGCCACTTACCCGTGGTAACTATCATAATTGTCTATCATTTCATGCTAATAGGATTCTGCCTTCAGGATGCATTAAAACACGCAGGGTTGTCTGCCCTGCCTTCAAAAAGAATCCCTCATTTAGTTCTACATCCCTTTGAGCAATACATCTTGCTCTACTCACTAAATATACCCAATAACAATTTCACTAAACTGTTGTTTTATTTGATAAATATACTTCTAGGTAAGAGGTCAAGAGATAAGAAAAGAACTGCCGATAGAATATTAATT